GACTTTCCTTTCACTTCCAGGCACGTCCACAGCTGAGCGTCCTTTCGGCTTTGGCCCAACCACTTCATTAGCTCTGGAGCTACTGGTATTTGTCCTCCACTCTTCCTCAGTAGCATGTTGGATGCCTTTCAACCTCAGGGACCCATCTTCCAGCGTCATATCTTTTATCCTTTTGTTTCTGAACATGGGATGTTCTTGGCAAAGATACTGGAGTGGCATTGCCAAATCCTACTCCAGGTGGATTGTGTTTAGTCGGAACTCTCCACTATGACCTGTCCATCTTGGGTGTCCCTGCACGGCATAGCCCATAGCTTCTCTGAGTTACTCAAGCCCCTTCGCCACGACAAGGCAGCAATCCACGAAGAGGCTCTAAAGAAAGTGCCTCTAAACATATTCCAATTGGAATTGTACAATATCTTAGTATTAAATTGTTGAATGTTGAGAGTTTCTCCATCGGTTTCATTTTTAATTATTTCTTAACATGAAATTTGCTTGAACATACACCAAGCTAACTTCAGATTTCATAGGTGAACTCAGAGCCACCTGCCTGTTTTGGATTCCTATTAGAAATGGGCACAAAGCTCATGCCGGGTCATCTTAATTCTTTGTCAGGGCACCACAAGTGCCGTGTGTTCCCTTCCTCACCCCCCTCCTTCCAGCTCCTACACTCACTAGCTGGGGTGTGCTGATCATTCCTTCCCTATTGCGTGATGTTCCAATCCTGGCAGGAATACAGACATCCCTTCTCTGCCTCCTCCAGCAGCTGCCCAGTCAGACAAGGAGACAGGGCAGGGATTCCTGCAGTGCTGTCTGTGAGTGGGCAACTGATGGAGGAGGTGGAGAAGGAATGTCGAGGCTCCTACTGGGACTGGAAGATCATGCAACAGGGAAGGAATGATCAGTGTGTCCTGACTGGTGAGTGTAGGAGCTGGAAGGGGGGGGGGATGAGGAAGGTAAGACACAGCACCTGTGTTGCCATGCTGAAGAATTAAGATGACCCAGCATGAAGTACTTCATGCTCATCTCTAATGCCTAAATTTTTAAAATCCAGTTCTTCTTGTTTCAGGATCTGATGAGCTTGGACGAGGTGGCTGTTTCCTTCACAGCAGAGGAGTGGGCTCTACTTGATCCACGCCAGAAGAGTCTCTATAGGGAAGTCATGGAAGAGATCTCATAACCGTAACCCGAACACGAACACGAACTGGAACCCTAACCCTAACCCAAACCCAAACCCTAACCCAAACCCAAACCCAAACCCAAACCCAAACCCAAACCCAAACCCGAACCCGAACCCCAACCCCAACCCCAACCCCAACCCCAACCCTAGCACCCCCACTGTCTATGATTCAGAAAGAACTTCCTAACAGGGACAGTGTTTGACAATTTTCCAGTGGGCTACCTAGAAAGTTAGGGGAGGAGAGGAGAAGGGGACAACAGAGGACGAGATGATTGGACGGTGTAATCGAAGCAACCAACCTGGCGTGCTCTGGTCCACAGGGTCACAAAGAGTCGGGGTCTTGACTTAACAACTACAAACAACAACCTAGAAAGGTAGTGATGGGATGGCCTCCTGCCAGATATGCTTGTGGTGATGATTTCTTCCTTGGAGAAGACATGTGGACTCAGTGACCCCCATAGTCCCTTCCAGTCCTAATCCTCTGTGCCTCCACCTTCCTTTGTCACATGAGGCAAACAATCTCCCTGCCAATTCTATGGCTTTCTGGCCACAAGGATACAGGAGCAGCAAACATGCGGCTGCCCTTCTTTAAACCAAAATTCTGCTGCTTCTTTACTCTCCCTGACAGCAGAGAGAACTCTCCATTTCCTGGGCCTGCCCAGCAAAGGCCATGATCAGATTTTTTAAGCACAAATGTGAGGGTTAGAAATTTAAACAAAGGCCCCTCCACGGCTAGAGATGCTTCCTGGGACCCACACCTTTGTGGTTTTCCTGCAACAGATTCAGACCTTTAACCCACCTCAGAATTGCCATAGCTGAAACTAAGGACTTCTGATGGTAAAACATTTCCTATAGCCATTAAGGTGACACAGAACAAATAGTTAGAGATGAACACGAACCAGTTTGTCCCATTTATCCTGGTAAATGTCTTGGTAAATTAAAACGATGTGAAATTGATTTCTGTTGCCATTTCTGATGTCTAATTTATGCTCATTGATTCATTTGCGTATTGTCCCATTTGTCTTATGTAGAGTGCAGATTTATTTATTTATTTATTTATTAGACTTCTACCTTGCCCATCTAGACTAAAGGTCTACAGTGGATCCTTGGCTTATAGACGGCTCGACTTACAGACTTTTCAAGTTACAGACTTCTCTGGCCGCAAAATTTAGGTTCGACTTGCAGCCTGAGAATCGACCTACAAACCAGAAAAAACCCAAAATGGCACAAAAATGGAACAAAAACAGCCGGTTATGGGATTAATCGTTTTTCATTGCATTGTAGGTCAATGGAGACTTGACCTACAGACTTTTCTAGCTCCAGCTACCGTTCCAATATAGATTAATTCCGTAAGTAGAGGGTCCACTGTACTCTGGGTGGCAAATGGGCATTGTTGACAAAAAAGGGCATAAATAAAATTCGTAGAGGAACAGGTAGAATTGTGAAGTTGGAAGGGGCCTATAAGGCTATCAAGTCCAACCCCCAGCTCAATGCAGGAATACGAATCAAAGGATTATCTGCCAGGTGGTTGTCTACCTTTCTCTTGAAGGCCTCCAGTGTTGGAGCACTCACCAACTCCAAAGGTAACTGGTTCCACTGCTCTAAAAGTTAGGACGTTTTCTTGTTATTCAACCAAATCCTGTATCTTGAGCCCATTGTTAAGTGTTAAATAGATCCTGTCTTTCCTCTGTATAATAACCTTTCAAGTATTTGAAAAATGCTATCATATCAGTCTTATTTTCTCAAGACTAAACATGCCCAGTTCTTTCTCAAGACTAAACATGTGCCAATTCCACATACACTCCACAGTTGATGCACCCTCTCTCCTCTTTTCATGTAATGCTTACCTGCTACTTACCTGGGAGCCCTTTCTGTCCTGACCCTGACTTCCTTGGGATTGCTTTCTGTGCTTTCTATGGACCTTTTCTCCATTATAATTTCTTTAAGGAAGGCTGATTTTTTTTAGATCCATCTAGAGGCATATTAAGGGCCCCTCTCACTAATCCTGAGGATCCCAAAGAAATCAGGGGAGGAAGGGTGAAGTTGATGAGAAGGACCCCTGCAGAGCATCAGTCCATAGGGGGTGGGGGAGAGAGGAAAAAGGGTCCAAGCCCTCTTGCCCTAAATAGGACAGGCAAGCTTCCTTTGCCCCCAAATCCCCCTCAGAGGAAGGTCCCTCTGAAACAGAAGGTGAGGGGAAAGGAGGACAGAGTGGAAGTGGAAAAGTGCAGAAGAGAGTGACTCAAATGAGGAATGGGCTGGGGCCCCTCCCTGATGAGGAAAGGCAACAGCTTTTGGTGCACTTTAGTCCAGAGAAAAGGCGCCTCGGGGGGGGGACATGATTAGGATGTATAAAATGATGCAGGGGAGAGATAAAGTCGATAGAGGGGAGGTCTTTTCCCTCTCACACAATACCAGAACCCTCAGGGGAAATCCACTCCAATTGAGTGTTGCTAGAGTGGAAAAGACCCTGATGTTGGGAAAGTGTGAAGGCAGGAGGAGAAGGGGACGAGAGAGGATGAGATGGTTGGACAGTGTCACCGAAGCGACCAACATGAATTTGACCCAACTCCGGGAGGCAGTGGTAAGACAGGTGGGCTGGGTGTGCTCTGGTCCGTGGGGTCACGAAGAGTCGGACAAGACGTAACGACTAAACAACAGAGTGAGAACAGAGACGTTATTTCTTGATCCAGCATGTGGGTAGTCTGTGGAACTCCTTGCCACAGGTTGTGGAGATGGCCTCTGGCCTGGATGCCTTGAAAAGGGTGTTGGACCAATTTCTGGAAAAAAAGACGATTGCCGTATAATCTCCAGGCTTCAAAGGAAGGGACCTCCAAATGCCAGATGCAGGGGAATGGTATCTAGTCGTCTCATGTGCTCCCAGAGGCATCTGGTGGGCCGCTGTAAGATGCAGGGAGTGAAGTAAGAGGGCCCCCTTGGCCTAATCCAGCACAGGGCTCTTCTTAGGTTCTTATGAGGAGGGCAGGCCCCTCAGAAGGTCCCAGGGGTGAAGGGAGGGGAAGGGGGCACTGCAGGCGGTGTGTGTGCGTGCAACTGAGGGAGAGGAAGAGACAATAGTTGGGGAGGAAAGGAGGCTCTTCCCCCACCCCCCACGCCAGGTCCCCATTTTCTCTTTAGAGCCGGCTGAGAGAGAGAGGGAAGCGGCAGAAGGGGGCAACGTTACGCCCCCATCTCCTTCTTCCCCCATAGCCCTCCTCCTTCCTCTTCCAAGTGCTCAGTTGGAGGGCCAAGAAAGGTGGGGAGAAAAAAAGGGCGGGAAGTAAAAAACGACAATGACGACCCCCCCTCCCCCGCAGCCTCTTCTCTGCGCAGGCGCGTCGCTTCCAGTCGGTGGCCGGCTCCTTGTCAACTGAAAGGAGGAGGGGAAGGGAGGGAAACGGCGCATGCGCGGTTGAGCGGCTGGCATGGCAACGGTTATGACGGGGGGTTATTGTTTCTGCATTGACTTCTTGCCCTCAGAGAAAGTTTCCCCCTCAGGAGAGGTGTTTAAGAGGGGCGGTGTTGAGGGAGAGGATGGTCTTCCCTCATGGCGAACCTGGGACTCTTGCCCTATTAGTAGTTAGCGGCCTTTCTGATAGACAGAAACTCGTTAGGGGATAGGTAAAGCAGAGCAGACAATTCCTGCCCCCTCGCCATTTCCTCATGAGGAGAGAGGATGAGGAAGGTGTGAATGAAGGCTGATCCGAAGCTCTCATCTCGTCGACTCGGAGAACATCGTTTTTCCCCTCAGAAGGGAAAGGGTTGTTTATTTTGTGTGTGTGTGTGTAAAGATGGAAGAATAACAGCTTTTCTTCATGGATAATTTGTGATTTTGCCTCTTTATTTGTGGTGTATTTAGTGGAACTCCCAGTTTTCTCCCACCCCCTCGATCTGAGGGGAGGGGGGAGAGCAGCTGCACCCACACATCCCCTGGAAGCTCCTTCTCCACGTCTGAAGAGTGGCAGGGAGGGGGCTGGGAGAGATCCCTCACCCATGAACGTCTCCCCCCAGCTTCAGTCCCAAGAGACTATGGTAATGTGCTCAGAATAGAGGTCTTGCTGTGGCTGAGACGGCCAGTTCGAGAGTGATAGTCCCTTCCACACTGAAGACAAATACAATCAAGTTCCCTGTCCAACTTACTGGTTTTGCTGGTTTCGGGACTGCCTCTTTGCCTCAGCCTGCTGGACAAGGGGCTCTTCAAATTGGGGGAGAGGCCATGCTGCACCGCCTGCCTCCAGGCTGAAGGCTCAGAGGTCAAGGTTTCCCATCTGTTGAGATCCATTCCTAAGGCCTTCAGATCCCGCTTGCAGATGTCCTTGTATCACAGCTGTGTTCTCCCTCTGGGGCGATTTCCCTGCACTAATTCTCCATACAGGAGATCTTTTGGAATCCTACCGTCAGCCATTCTCACGACATGCCCAAGCCAGCGTAGACGTAAAAACATGAGAGCACAGCAATCCATTCAAAAAAGCAAAAAAAGACCCCACGAAAAACAAAAGCAAAGCCTACTACTTGTATACTGCCCCATAGCACAAAACACTCTCTGGGTGGTTTACAAGTTAATTATGCAGGCTACACATTGCCCCCACCCCCCAGAGAGCTGGAGACTCATTTTACCAACCTTAGGATAGAAAGCGGAGTTAACCTTGAACCGGCTGCCTGGGGTTGAACCCTGGGGTCAGGAGCATAGTTTTGGCTGGACTACAGCAGCCTAACCACTGCGCCACCCTCCTCAGGATCCCTCCAGCCAGGGCAACTGTTCTGGAGTCAAATATGAACCCTGTCACACTGCCCTGTCACTCGCAAGCAAGAAACTTACCCCAGCTTGACTTGCAATACGATTACCTAATGCTGCTCTTGGAGCCACCACTCGGAGAAGCTAGGAATGTCCACCAGGAGATCAGCAGCCAGTGGAGCTACTGTGACAAAGAGAGTTCTATGTTTCCTGAAACCAGCCCCCGTTAATACAGTGGTGCCTCGCTAGACAGTTACCCTGCATG